TCTTTCTCTCTCTTTGAATTCCTTTTATTGCTTTCCCTTACCTGACTGCTCTGGCCAAAACCTCCAGTACTGTGTTGAATAAGAGTGGTGATAGTGGGCATCCTTTTCTTGTTCCTGTTCTCAGGAGGATGGCGTTCAGTCCTTGCCCATTGAATGTGATGTTGGCTGTGGGTTTGTCACGTATGGCTTTTATTATGTCGAGGTAATTTCCCTCTATCCCCATTTTGTCAAGAGTTTTATCATAAATGGCTGTTGGATCTTGTCAAATGCTTTCTCTGCATCTATTGAGATGATCATGTGGTTTTTATTCCTCATTTTGTGAATGTGGTGTATCACGTTGATTGATTTGCGGATGTTGAACCATCCCTGTGTCTCTAGTATAATCCCACTTGATCATGATGTATGATCCTTTTGATGTATTGCTGTATTTGGGTTGCCAATATTTTGTTGAGGATTTTTGCTTCTATGTTCATCAGTGATATTGGCCTGTAGTTTTCCTTTTTTGTGTTGTCTTTGTCAGGCTTTGGTATCAGAGTGATATCAGCCTCATAGAATGTGTTAGGAAGCATTCTATCTTCCCTAATTTTTTGGAATAGCTTGAGAAGGACAGGTATTACATCCTCTCTGAAAGTTTGATGGAATTCTCCAGGTATGCCTTCTGGTCCTGGGGTTTTATTCTTTGGGATGCTTTTGATTACTATCAATCTCTTTTCTTGTGATTGGTCTATTCAGATTGTCTGTTTCTTCTTGATTCTGATTTGGGAGGTTGTAAGAGTCTAAGAATTTATCCATTTTCTCTAGATTATTCATTTTGTTGACATATAGTTTTTCGTAGTATTCTCTTATAATCCGTTGTATTTCTGTGGTGTCTGTTGTTATTTCTCCTCTTTCATTTCTAATTTTGTTTATCTGAGCTTTCTCTCTTTTTTTCTTTTCCCTTACTTTTTTAATAACAGCTTTATTGAGATATGTTTCCATACCACAGAATTCACCTATTTAAAAGGCACGATTCAATGGTTTTTAGTATATTCACAAAGTTATGTGACTATTATCACAATAACTTTTAGAACATTTTCATCACCCCCCCCCCAAAATCTGTACTATTAGCAATCACTCCCCTTTTCCCTCCACTTCCCTTCCACTCACCCCCACATATACTTTCTGTCTCTATAGATATTTTCTATTTAGAACATTTCACTTAAGTAGACTCATACAATATGTGATCCTTTGTGACTGGTTCCTTTTTTTTTTTTTTTTTTTTTTTTTGGGGAAGATTAGCCCTGAGCCAACGTCTGCTGCCAATCCCCTTTTTGCTGAGGAAGACTGGCCCTGAGCTAACATCTGTGCCCATCTTCTTCTACTTTATATGTGGGACACCTACCACAGCATGACCTGCCAAGTGATGCCATGTTTGCACCCAGGATCTGAACTGGCGAACCCTGGGCCGCAGAAGCAGAATGTGTGCACCCAACTGCTTTGCCACCGGCCGGCCCCTGGTTCCTTTTACTTAGTGTAATATTTTCCAGATTCATCCACGTAGCATGTATCAGTACTTCTTTTCTTTTTGTCGCTGAATAATATTCCACTGCATAGATATACTACATTTTATTTATCCGTTTATCAGTTGATGGATATTTGGGTTGTTCCCACTTTTTGGCTGTTATGAAGAATGCTGCTATGAACATTTATGTACAAACTTTTGTGTGGACATATATCCCCGTTTCTCTTGGATATATACCTTGGAGCAAAATTTCTGGGCTGCATGTTAAATCTTTTAAGGAACTGCCAGACTATTTTCCAAAGCAGCTACACCATTTTGCATTCCTAGCAGCACTGCATGAAGGTTCCCATTTTTCCATAGCCTCACAACACTTATTATTATTATCTGTCTTTTTGATTATAGCAGGTATAAAGTGCTATCTCATTGTGGTTTTGAATTGCATTTCTCTCATGACTAGTTATGTTGAGCATCTTTTCACATGCTTATTGGCCATTTGAATATCTTCTTTAGAGAAATGTCTATTCAGATTCTTTGTCTATTTTTAGGTGGATTATCTGTCTTCTTATAATTGAGTTATGAGAGTTCCTTACATATTCGAGATAAAAGTCCCTTATCAGATATATGACTTGCAAATATTTTATTCCTTTCTGTGGACTGTCTTTCCACTTTCTTGAAGACATCCTTTGCAGCACAAAATTTTGAATGTCAGTGAAGTTCAATCTATCTGTTTTCTCTGTGGCTGCTTGTGCTTTTCATGTCATATCTAAGAATCCATTACCAAATCTAAGGTCATGAAGATTTATCCCTATGTTTGCTTCCCATGTTTTATAGTTTAGCTCTTTTTTTCCCTTCTTCTCCCCAAAGCCCCCCAGAACATAGTTGTATATTCTAGTTGTGGGTCCTTCTAGTTGTGCTATGTAGGATGCCACTTCAGCATGGCTTGATGAGCGATGCTAGGTCCGTGCCCAGGATGCAAACCGGTGAAACCCTAGGCTACTGAAGCAGAGCGTGTGAACATAACCACTTGGCCACAAGGCCAGCCCCTAGTTTTAGTTCTTACATTTAGGCCTCTGGTCCATTTGGGGTTCATTTTTGTATATACTGTGAGGTAAGTGTTCAATTTCTATCTTTTCTTTGTGGATATCCAGTTGTCCCACCATCATCTGTTAAAAAGACTATTCTTTCTTATTGAATGGACTTGGCACTCTTGTCAAAAGTCACTTGACTGTAAATGTGAAGGTTTATTCCTGGACTCACAATTCTATTCCATTGATCTCTATGTCTGTCCTTATGCCAGTACCAAACTGCTTTGATTACTTTCATTTATAATAAATTTTGAAATAGGGAAGTGGTTAGTCCTCCAACTTTGTTCTTCTTTTTCAAGATTGTTTTGGCTATTCTGGGTCCTCTGAATTTTCATATGAATTTTAGAGTCAGCTTGTCAGTTTCTGCAAAAAAATCAGCTGGCATTCTGCTAGGGATTGCACTGAATCTGAAGATCAGCATGGGGAGTATTGCCATCTTAATAATAAGTCTCTCAACACATGAACATGGAATGTTTTTCCATTTAGTTAAATCTTATTTAATTCCTTTCAACCAAGTTTGTAGTTTCCATAGAAAGTACACAATTCTTTCACCTCTTTGGTTAAATTTATTTCTGGTCATTTTATTCTTTTTACTGCTACAGTAAATGGAATTATTTCTTAATTTCATTTTCAGATTGTTCATCCCTAGTGTGTAGACATACAACTTTTTTTCATATTGTTCTTGTTTCCTGCAACCTTACTGAACGCATTTATTAGCTCTAATTGTGTGTGTGTGTGTGTATTATTAAGAAGGATTTTCTATACATAATATTATGCAATCCACAAATAGAAATAGTTTTATTTCTTCCTTTCCAGCCTGGAAAGTCTTTTATTTCTTTTTCTTGCCCGATTTTCCTGGCTAGAACCTCCAGTAAAATGTTGAATAGAAGTGATGAGAGTAGACATCCTTGTGTTCTTCCTGATCTCGGGCAGAAAGCATTCAGCCTTTCATTGTTAAGTAAGTTGTTAGCTGTGGGTTGTTTGTAGATGCCCTTTATCAGATTGAGGAACTATATGCTTAGTTTTTGAGTGTTTTTATCATGAAGGGGTTTTGAATTTTGTCAAATGCTTTTTCTGTACCTATTGAGATGATCATGTGATTTTTGCTATTTATTCTAATGATATGGTGTATTATATTGATTGTATTTTATATGTTAAGCCAACCTTGCATTCTTGGGATAAATCCTACTTGGTCATGGTGTGTCTAATAATTTTTACATGCTGCTAGATTCAGTTTGTTCGTATTTTAATGAGAATCTTTGCATCTGTATTCATAAGAGGTACTGGTATGCAGTTTTCTTTTCTTGTGATATTTCCGTCTGGTTTTGGTATCAGGGTAATACTGGCCTCATAGATTGAGTTCTGAAGTGTTTCCTCCTTTTCTATTTTTTAGAAAAGTTTGTTAAGGATTGGTATTAATTGTTCTTTGAATGTTTGATAGAATTCACCGGTGAAGCTGTCTGGGCCTGGGCTTTTCTTTGTGGATGGGTTTTGATTACTAATTCAATCTCTTTACTTGTTATAAGTGTATTCAGAGTTTCAAATTATTCTTGAGTCAATTTTGGTGGTTTGTGTCATTCTAGGAATTTGTCTATTACACCTAAGTTATCTATTTTGTTGGCATATAGTTATTCATAGTATTTCCTTATGATCCTTTTTATTTATGTAGGGTGGGTAGTAATATCCCTTCTTTCATTCCCAATTTTACTGATCCTTTTCTCTTGGTCAGTCCAGCTAAAACTTTGCCAATTTTGCTGATCTTTTTAAAGAAACATCTTTTGGTTTCATTGGTTTTTTTCTATTCTCTTTTCCATTTTCTGCTCTATTCATTGTTATTTTCTTCCTCTACTTGCTTTGTGTTTAATTTGCTCTCCTTTTTCTAGTTTCTTAAGGTTGAAGTTTAGGTTATTGATTTGAGATAAATCTCTCTTTTGTTTAAATGTAGGCATCTATAGATATAAATTTCCCATTAAGCAATGCTTTAGCTGCATCCCATAAGTTTTATTATGCAGTGTCTTCATTTTCATTCATCTCAGAGTGTTTTCTAATTTATGATGTCTTCTCTGACTCATTGGTTATTTTCCTTATCTTTTTAATGTGAATTTGTAGGGAGATTAGGCACATGTGTGTGGTGATGGATTGTAATTAGTCTTTGGGTGATGAACATGATGTAATCTACACAGAAATTGAAATATAATGATGTACACCTGAAACTTATATAATATTATAAACCAATGTTACCACAATAAAAAATAAAAATAAATTAATTAAAAAAGAATTTGTACGGAGAACCCCTCTATTTTTCTTTATCCATCTACCTAGGATTTCATCAATTTTGTTAATCTTTCAAACAAACAAGTTTTGGCTCTGTTAATTTGCTCTATGTTTATTTTTTGCCTTTGGTGGATTTCTCCCAAAATGTGGATCACTTCATGAATTTGTGTGTCATCCTTGTGCAGGGGCTATGCTGATCTTCTTTGTATTGTTCCCATTTTAATAAATGTGCTGCAGAAGGGAGCACTGTTTATTTTCTATTTGATTAATTTTTGCTCTTTTCTTTACTATTTCCTTCCTTTTGCTTACTTTGGGTTGATCATGGTGTTCTTCTTCTAGCTTCTAAAGATGAAAACTTGCATCACTGATTTTAGGTTTTTCTTTCTCTCTCTCTCTCTCTCATAATATAAGCATTAAAAACTATACATTTTCCTCTAAGCATTGCTTTAGCTGCATCCCACAACTTTTGATATATTGTATTTTCATTATTATCCAATTCAAAATCCTTTCTAATTTCCCCTGTAATTCCTTCTTTGAAGCATGGATTATTTAGAAATGTGTTGTTTAATTTCCAAATATGTTTTCCTAGGTATGTTACTGTTACTGGTTTTAATTTAATTCCATTGTGGTCAAAGGACGTATTCTTTAACATTTAAATTTTTTGAAATATATTGAGCCATTGGCTAAGCATATGTTGTATCTCAGTGGCCATATTATGTTCTTTTGGAAAAAAATGTGTATTCTGTGTTTGTCAGATATAGTGTTCTATAAGTCCTTACTAATTTTTATCTATTTATTCTATCAATTACTGAGAGAGCTGTATTAGAGTCTCCAGCTATGATTGTGGATTTGTCTATTTCTTCCTTTAATTCTGGCAGTTTTTGCTTCATGTATCTTTAAGCTCTATTATTAGATGCATACATATTTATAATTGTTATGTCTTCCTTACGAATTATTATGAACTGTCCCCCTCCTTATATTTATATAACATGTCTTTTCCCATCCATTTATTTTGAGCCTATCTGTGTCTTTATATTTAAAATGCATCTTTTGTAGACAGCATGTGGTGGGGTATTATTCTTTTATCCAGTCTGACAATCTCTGCTTTTTAATTGCAGTTTTAGTCCTGTGCTAAAAGAGTTAACATAGCAGACCTGAAACCTAGCCTTAGAAAGGCCTACTTGCAACTTTGGCCTTGTCTGGCATCTGGGAATTTGGCTCTTGGAGTGTTCCCAGTCAACAGTGAACTGATAAGGTTGATTCACTGTGCCCAAAACATTTCTAAAAACAATATGGTTTATGCTCAACACCTGCTTCTTTCTGGGAGTCTGGAATTTTGGTATGTGTTAGGCAGAGGGTGCCTACCTGGCCAGCCTCCAATAAAAATCTTAGGCACTGAGTCTCTACTGGGCTTCCCTGGGCAGGACCACACAGACGTGTTGCTGCATTGTTATGGCTGGAGGAAAAGTGCGATTCCTCATTGGAGGGAGAGAGCACAAGGAAGCCTACATGTAGATTTCTCTAGACTCCACCTGAGTATTTTTTCCTTATAATCCAGCTGTGCATTTTTAATACATCAGTGTTATAGATCTTAGCCATGTGTACAACTATATGCTGAGTCCTGAATCCTTCTAGTGAATCTCTGGATGTAGAGATGGTCTTGGAGCCCTGACACAAGTCCATTAACATTTAATGTAGTCACTAATATAATTGGGTTTAGGTCTGCTATTTTATTTGGCTTCTGTTTGTCCTGTCCTTTAGTTTGTTTTGGTTTTGTTTTATGTTCTCATATTCCTACTTTCCTGTCTTCTTTTGAGTTAATTGCATATTTATTTTAGAATTTCTTTTTAATTTATCTATTGGCTCTTTTGCTATATCTCTTCACATTACCTCTTTAGCGGTTACTCTAAGGAATGCAACATACATCATTAACATTTCCCAGTCTACAGAGAGGCAATGTTGTAGCATTTGATGTAAACTCTAAGAACCTCGTGACCATATAGATCTCATTCTTTGTGTTAGAGCTACCATATGTATTACATCTGCGTATGTAATAAGCCCCACACTAAAATGTTTCCAGTCTTGCTGTAAGCAGTCACATACATTTTTAATAAATTAAAAGAAAAAAGATTGTCTTTCATCTTTAGCCACATACGTACCATTCTTGATGTTCTTCATTCCTTCCTAAAGATCCAGGTCTATGGTCCAACCAATAAGCACCCATCAGCCTTCATATCTGAATGGGAGTCTCCTCTCACATCCACTAACTCAGCTAAGTTGTTGACATTGCTTTTGGGCTGGCATGTAGAGTGGTGATCACTACCTCCATCTTACGGGTGGAAAAACTGAGGCCCAGGGAGAGTTAATGACTTGCTTGCTCAGCTAGTTAGCAGCAGAGCTGGAATCAGAATCTAGGTCTATCAACTTTCTATCCAGTATCTTCCCATGTCGCTCAAAGATTGCAAAATAGTCAGAATCACTCATGCTGCATAGACAGCTTCCCCTATTGGAGTTGTCATTTTCTGAGAGACTGTGTCCATGAGGAGATCATTCCTTGTAAGGGCAGAAACCAGGATGAGCAAAGTGGGCTTTCTTGTGTACCTTGTCTCCCTAGCGAGATTATAAGCCTCCTGAGGGCAGAGATGGTTCAAGGGCACAGTAGGAGGATTGGTGTTGAGACTCCTCTCCCCTCCCCTCCCATTGTCAGTCTTGGTGCTTCCCACCTCCCCCAGGGGCTCCTTTAGACCTCACCTCCCCCAGCCTCCCAAAACTCATTGGGTAACTAACTACCCAGCTCACCCTGGACTTTCTTTATGGCCTGAGCCACTGAGCAAATGAGCAGGAGCTGATTCCCAGGGGTCTTGGGTGATGAGACATCACTATCATTCCATCGCTCATTTCTGCTCAATGCTTTGCAGTTTGCAAAGTGCCTGTGACTCTCTCTCATTTGAGCCTCCCAATAACTCTAGAAGGTGGGACAATCAAGCACCATTGGTGCCAGTGGATGGAGGAGGAACTGCAGGCCAAGTCCACACCCTCCTAAAGGGCAGAGTCAGGGCTCCAGCTCCAGGGAGCCCTCCAGTGCACAGGGCTTCCCTGCCACACACTGTCTCGTGGGGCCCTGGAAGTATCTCAACTATTCCAACCAATCCCATAAGTTTTGGGGTCAAGTAAATGGGAGGAGTGTGTCTGACTCCAGACCCAGACCTTCAACATCCTCGGGCAGCCCAGTGAAGGAGCCAGGTTCTGTGGCTCCAGCCCCAGGTTTTTCTGTCTTAGAGAAGAAATCCAGCTGTGCCAGTGCTTCAGGAAGGAAGCCCTTTCACTTCTCCTTTTAGTGGGGTCCTCAGCCCCCAGATTTTATGGATCAGCAGAATCTGATCCTTCCTTGGCTTTCAGGCAGGACAAGAAAACCGGCTGTTTAGAGTTACCCGTCCCCTTCTGCCCTGGGACTCTTTGTTTTCCTAAAGCTTGGCCTCCTCAGCTGTGGCCCATCAGAAGGACCCTTGTGCACATGCTCAGAGGCCTTCCCTCCTCCTGCACCCACCTGCTTTCAGTGAGCCTCTGGTTAGTAAATATCTTCCAACCTCCCTCTCAACACCATCCTTTTCCTTCCTTGCATCTCCCAGAACTTAAGGACCATGACCCCCGCTAAGTCCTTATCCTGGGCTCCAACCAGTGGTATGCCAAAGCCGGTTCCCATCAACCTGGGAGAGCTGACTGTAGCCTCTCTTCCCAACTCCACTTTCAGCGACATCAGGTTGAAAGCTTGAAATCAGCCACATTAGAAGTATTTACGGGGGCCAGCTCCATGGCTGAGCGGTTAAGTTTGCGTGCTCCGCTGCGGCGGCCCAGGGTTCGGATCCTGGGCGGGAACATGGCACCGCTCGTCAGGCCACGTTGAGGCGGCGTCCCACATCCCGCAACTAGAAAGACGTGCAACTGAGATATACAACTGTGTATGGGGGCCGGGGGTGGTTTGGGGAGATAAAGCAGAAAAAAAAAAAAAAAGATTGGCAATAGTTGTTAGCCCAGGTGCCAATCTTTGGGAAAAAAAAAGGAAGATTGGCAACAGTTGTTAGCCCAGGTGCCAATCTTCTAAAAAAAAAAAAGAAGTATTTACATCACGGAAATCAGCAAATGCTACAAATCAGAGCTTTCCTCACGGAGTCAGTTGTTAAACATTTACCAGCATGTCACTGGCCCCATCTTACCTGTCTGTTGACCAAGACCTGCCAAGGTGTTTGCTGATAATCACTGGTGTTTGTTTCAGCCTCTTCCACATGGACTTCCTGAGTTCCCTCCCCAGCAGGTCACCTTGGCTCCATGGGAGAGAGCCAGCCAGGTGGCGGCAGTTGGAAGTCAGCCCAACATGCCCGGAACTGACAAGGACAAGAGGATATGGGCAGATCATAGACAGTTTCTACAACAAACTGATACACACACACACACACACACACACACACACACACTCCTGGTTTACTTTAATACTTGTGGGTTTACTTTAACGTGTATTGGAAAAAATACAGCCAGTACACTAAGTCTGTGACTTCACGGATATTTTTGAGTGAAGTCAATTTTTAAAAAACGATTAAGTGTCTAATAGATTGGGTGGTGGGAAGAAATGGTAAAAATTATGGAGACAATGAAAGAATGGATGAAATTTGGTTGCTGGTGAATGGGGAACTAGTGAAGAATTTTAGGCACGGGAGTGACCAGGGCTGGTTTGCATTCATGCATCTATGTACAGAACAGATTGGAAGGAGGCAAATTGGAAGGCAGTGGAATGGGGTTGAAAAGGAACAGATGGGTCTGGGAGTTGTTAAATAGGTAGAGTCAACAAAACTAGAGACATTATTAGATATGAGGATGGGGACAATGGTGCTTTCTCTGAACGGTAAGGAAGGATACACTAGTTGCATTTGGGGCAGGACACATGAGGTACCGTGTGCTATTCCTGCCCCTGCCCCTAACCTCTCAACCTTACCTCTTTCCGTCACCTTCTGGAAATCATCCACACCCTGCTGCTCACCAGGCTTCCCCCGCCCATGCTCTTCCCCTTGGCCTGGAATGTCCTTGACCCCTTGTCTCCCTGGAGCTCCTGGCCGTCCTTCTCTGAAGCTTCCCTGATCCCCCACACAGAGCTTGTCTTCCTTTGCGCTCCTAGAGCACTTTGGACCTGGCAGTTGCCTGTCACTAGCAGTGACTACCCCTCGTTAACATTTATTGCAGGCCAGGCACCATGCC